AGTCTGCCTGAAGCCATTTTTGGAGGATCTGCCACATTCTCAGCGTACTAACAGTACTTTTAGCTCACACAAGAGCTAATTCAGGTCTCAGTGGAAAAGCTAAATAAGGATTATGAAAAGGCACAACAATGCTGCTGATACACATCTGGCTTCTAACATAAGACAGCTCCTCATGCACAGCTGTGTTCCTAATCTGGCTGGAATGAAGGTGGAGAAAGAGAAGAAAGAGACAGTCTAGATATGTTGCTGGAGATGAAGCTGGAAGCCAGCAGGGGGAAAAAATGTGCCGTAAAGACAGTCGACATTTCACAGTGAAACGCTAACGGCTAAGAATAGACTCAGAGTGTTGTGGAGCACGAGCTGAGTCTGGAAAGTATTCGATGAAAACACTGCTGGAAAACAAATTAGGCTGGCTAGCTGAACGAGAATACGGAAGGAAGTGTGTGTGTGTGTGTGTGTGTGTGTGTGTGTGTGTGTGCGCGTGAAGGTCAATGGAAGCACACAATGTCCGACTGAATGTCAATAACAAAACACACACATTAAAATCCAACATCACAAAACTACAGACAAAAAGATAAAAATAAAACAATGAAAAGTCAAAGATGAAAACAGATAAATAGTGAACCAGACAGAGAGACAGAACAAACGGACCTGGAGAGAAAGGGTCACGACCTTCCTGCTAACGTACATAAACACACACGTTTGTGTTTGATGTGCGCCTGTAAGTAGCTGCTGATACGCAGCGTTAAAGATTAGCTCGTCTCAGGTCTGGGCAGCCTGGTCTGCTGCCGTTCTTATGAAAAGCTGCTGTTCTGACACGAGAACGTGAGCAGGCTAGGCTAGTGCAGTGAGCTACGCTCTGAGAGCCCTGCACCAGGACTGGTTGTAAACCAAACTGGCTAAACCCTCTCCACAGCCAGGGTGGTACCAGCTGAGGAGAAGGGAAGTGGTTCTGGGGTTATGAAAAGTGTGTCAGACACACATGGAGGGTCGAGGGAATAAAAGGTGAAGGCCCAGTCATAGCCCGCCCAACCCCAGAACCAGGTGATAGCAGCGTTACAGGGTGGCAGCTCACAGAAAGGGAGAAACCACGATGACACGCTGCGCCTCGAGGTAGAAAGCTGCATTGAGCTTCAACAGGAAGGTTGGTCCACAGCACGCTGAGGTCCACAGCACGCTGGTCCACAGCGCACTGAGGTCCACAGCACGCTGAGGTCCACAGCGCACTGGTCCACAGCACGCTGTGGTCCACAGCGCACTGGTCCACAGCGCACTGGTCCACAGCACGCTGAGGTCCACAGCATGCTGGTCCACCTGTCTAGGGGTCAAAATGTCTCACATACTTATTACATGTTTTCCCATTAAAAAAAATAAAATAAAAAGTTATAGTAAGAGCAGCTTTTCTGGTCTTTCCATGGGTGAAGGCAGCATAACTGTGTCTCTCTCCTTCAGTCATGCTGAGCTGCATCCACAGAGCTGCAGGACTTCATCCAGCCGTGAAACATGTGAGAGGAGCCCAGAGCCGGGTGGGCTTCAGAGGCTGACTTTATCATCTTTATGTCATCCTGTAGCTGCAGTATAAATCCGTCCTGGTGCTGCTCAGATCCACAGAGGAGCTGAAACCATTTGGCACCACTGCTCCCAGATCAGTGACGTCACAGCAGCTCTTAGGATCAGGGCTTCATCCTGTCATCGGTGCTTTACGACTTAAATCTGGGAAACTAAAACACTCCTACTGATTCTAATTCAATTTGTCAGCATCTCAGCAGACTTCATTAATGAAAGCCTCTTTGATGTCCTCTGCTGTAGATCCTTGTAGATCCTGGTCTATCCAGTCCTCCAGTGTCCATGTCAGCTTTCCAACAGCAGATGTTTTCCATCTCAAAGGTGAAGCACCTGCTGTGACATTCCTGCTGCAGGTGTGGCTGCAGATGCAACAACGCAGCAGCAGCAGCCTCAGTGGTACCGAGAGCCGGGCCTATATGAGCCTGTAAGGCTGCAGGCGGGTCATCAGCTCCAGCTCATGCTGAATGGTCTTCGTTTGCTGTTTGTTCAGATACAACCTGCTTCACATCATAGCTGCTTGAATCCTCCATGGAGGACGTGGAGACCCGTCAGCAGCAGCTTATCTGAACATACTGCAGTAAGTGTTGTGATTGCACTGCTATCTTCATACATCTAAAAACTACAAACACGAGCTGATTAAAGCCTCACCTGGCAGACAGCGCAGCCCAAACACATCTCGACTCCTCGCGTTCAGCCCGGTCTGACTCAGCATCCTCTCCTGTAACAAAACAGACATGAGTACGCGTTTATCATCGGGTTTAACCAGCGGTCAGTGGACCTGGAGAGACTGTGGACATGAGGAAACAGCCAGCGTGGTTCAGTCCACATGGAAAACAATCTGAACACAAACACGTTACACTCATATGTATATTTAATCCTGAGCTGCAGCGATTAATCGACTGGGTGTCAAACATTACAGGAACAGTTCACTGCTCTGACACCTGAATCATCAGTTTGAGCTGTTTTTTCTTTGATTGAAAAAAAAACTAAACAAAAAAGAGAACAATTCTCTGATGCCAGTTTTCTAAAATTAAAAACGTTCCTGTTTGTTCCTCCTCTGGCTCTGTGACAGTAAACTGGACTTCCTTCAGTGACGTTTGTCATCTTGTAAACAACTGTTCTCTACAGTTTATAGACCAGAAACCTAATTTATTAATGAATTGAGAAGATAACGGATAGATTCAGCAACACAGGCTGCAGGTCTAGTTTAATGTAATCTTTGAACACGTCTCCAGTTCCAAGTCCTTCCACTCGACTAAACCGACCACAGACTGGACGGTGGAGACGGAAACATGCACACGTCAGCATCACAGGAACAGGGACTGTGTGGACGGTGAGAACAGCAGACATCTACTGAGCAGAACACTTTCCTCACACTGCTTCAGACCAAACAGCAGAGGGTTCATGGACAGACGGTCCCGCTCGGTTCTGCTTTATACTGAAGCTCCGGCTCGGCCTGCTGCTCTCATCAAAGTCCGACTTGCCTCAACGGACTCGTTTCAAAGACAAAGAAACAAAGCCAACCACACAATGCTCTGTGATTCTAAGTTTCCATGTTGTTGTTCCTGTTTTCTCTGCGATCGTCACCACGTCTGGCGTACTGGAGTCTGTTCTACGAGCAGATCCGAGCCCAGACCCACAGAGGTTTCTATAATCAGGCTGTGAGCTTACTAGCACACATGCTTCCACTTAACTGTGCTGCTAACCCCCCTCCGTGAAGGCCATTTACATTTATCGGCCTGAAATCCCATAATAGGCCGAGGCCTGCAATGTGAGAGCGCGGCGTGATTATACAGGTGGCAGGAAAGCTTTAGCAGAAAGGAAAGGTCCTTGAGTTAACATCCGAGGTAGCTATACGTCGTAGAGCCTCAAACGTCTCCCCTCAGCAGTCCTGGCCCGCAAACCAAACTATAAATCAGTGTTTAAGGCGCCGGCTTTATCACGGAACACAACGACTTCTTTGAGTCAGCGAGGATGTGAGAACAACAACAAGGAGTCCAGTCAGCGCCGGTGTTATGCTCACGGTGGAGAGCTGAGTGTTAGCAGCCTGCTCAGGAAAACCTGAGACCTAAAAAAACAGCGAACAAAGAAGAGCTCTGCTCACGGAAAAGGTTGTAAAGCTGCACACAGCTGCTGGTTCTTCTCTGCATGTGAGAGCATCTGGTGGCTCATTTAACGGGAAGCCGCAGAGACTCTGCTGCTTGCTATTGATGCTTTATACATGTAAGTATGTGAATATATACATACATATATATGTATGTGTGTGTATAATGGCATGTTTAAGCAGAAAATGAGCATATTTACTGTAAAAAGGACAAGAAACACTTTGACAGTTTATAAATAAGTGAATCCAGGATGATCCACCAACACGAGCACGTCGTCGTGGAGACGTTTTCTCTGCTGCAGTAAAAATCAGAACCAAACTACAGATTAATTACACGTCGGTCTTCCTGACACACATTTTCTAGGCTGTGTTTACCCCAAAGTGTTCAAAGTTTGATTACAGTTTCAGCAGTTTTACTGACCAAATTAAAATGCGGAAAGTTCTCTGTTTGCAAAACCCACCAGAGAAAACCGGGTTTTGTTGGTTCCGAGGCAGGACGTTAAACTTTTACAAGACGTAGCCGCTGCCAGAGCATTGTTCGTCTGTTTCCATCTGGTTTGAAAATACCGAAGCTTTCTCTCTGTCTCTCCATCAACACCCACAGACAATCCGCGGCTGGATTCCTGACCGTCTTCTGAGCACATCAGAAGCTGCTTTTTGTTTTTCACTGCATAAGTCGGCCGTGTTGATCTGAACGCTGTCAGCGCCGACAGACTCGTGTCTCAGGGTGTTGTGAGGCGAGTGGACTCCCTGATAACACCACGTCTACACGTAGAGGAGCTGCTGGCCCTCCGGCAGGCTGGGCCACCTCAGTAATGTGATCGGGGTGGCAGGAGTGGAGCTCTTGGTAACGCTATGAATGCAACACAATGAAAGATCAACAGAAAACGTGTGCATGAACTGCAGACAAATGAACATCTGTACGTCCTGCACAACAGAGATAAAACAGGCAGCAGAGATAAGGGAGACGGGACAAGGTCTAGTCAGACTCTGGAGGATTCTGTGGCCAAAGTAAGGCGGCCCTGAGTCACATATCACTCAGAAACCACATTTGGAGGCCTGTGTTTATGCTGACGGTTCATTGTGTGGCTTCTGAGTCCCCACTATATCACTTTCATTGGCTGCTTCTCCCCCGTGCTGCCTCCCTGCCCCACTTCTGCCCCACTTCTGCCCCACTCTGCTCCCTCCTTTCATCCTCAGGGACAGCGGCCAAGGCTTACTGCAGTTTCCATTGCTCATGGCTTCCCCTGGCTGCTGCAGCCAGACTCCTGCAGTCAGCGTGCCAAAGTCACGAGGGAACAAACTGGGTTTTTGGTGGGACTCTGGTGAGAAACCAGCGGAGGAACAACAAAGCTGTGCTGCTGCCGTCTCTCTGACAACAATCTGTACAAACAAGCCCAGATGTGTTCAGAAACAATCAGAGTTTCAAGTTCAAACCTGCTCAGTTACTAAATTCAGGGGATTTTTTTTACAGCTGGATCCGCCTCCACCGTGCAGCCCAACAGCTCCGAGTCCATTCTGAAGGCTGCTCCTGAGTACTGCCCGGCCCGGGGCAGCTTCTAGCCACTGTTCTGTTTATTTGTGTTGTGCTTTTCATTTCCTAACATGAAGGAATGCAGCCAGATGCATTGTGAAGGAGAACGAGGACATGAGTGGTTCTGCTCAACGGGCTCACTTTGAAGTGCAGAAATAGTACCAACAGTTCTTCAGGTTTCTCTGGAGGCGGACCTGTGATGATCTACTGGACCTGATATTAACGAAACAGAAGCCCTGACATCAAATATACTCACGATGCGCTGAGAGGAAAAGCCCCGAGGGCAAAGCCCCGAGGGCAAAGCCCCGAGGGCAAAGCAGGAGAACAGAGACGCCCTGAACATAAGCAGAATGAGTGTGGACGCGTTTCACTGTGACGGAAACAGAAACTACAGCAACGGATTCTGCAATAGGGCCGAAGCAATACATCAATGTTTCATGAACAGGGAATTCTGATGGTTAATATTTAATGTAGAACTTTATGCATCACCCTACAGCCAATATTCTGCTTTTAACCCATTTCTCTACACGGCCTGCAGCCATTAGCACCGCTCTGCTGCCGTAGCATGTTGCTATGAAAGCCTCCATGCGATGCTGCTAACTGGAGCACACGGACTGCAGACGGAGCATCCTGAGCTGCTCTCTGCAGCCACCACATCAGCACGGGACGCTTTACAATGACTGACTGTCCCTTTGTGAGGTGATGCGCTGTGAGGTCGGTGAAGGACGACTCAAAGGTCCTCTTAAGCCAAATAACACTGTGTTTGCTTGCCAGAGGAGGGGAGCACCTCAGAACAGGGCTGACTGAACCTGTAAGATCCAGAACCCTGTTACCTATCCATGCAGGTGACCGATGGTTAATCCATAGGACAGCCACGTTCTGACACCTCGCAGCAGGAACAGCACATGATGGCTGTATTCCATGTGGGGACGGTCCTGCTGGTGTGCATTCTGGTTCTGGTTCACTGTCACAGCTTTCTGGGATCAAACTGAGCTACTGTGTGCTTTTCCTGCTACGACATGTCAAAACGTCTGCCGTGAAAAGGTGTACAGGCCTATGGACACACAGGCACAACGACGTCACAAACAACACACCTGAAGTCCCATCTGATAGGAGCGTCCTGCAGACCAGTGATGAACACACAGCATCCTCCCTGCAGGAGCTGTGGGCAAACATACAGTCTGTAGGAGCAGCAGACTGCCAGCTGGTGCCTGTTTAACAAGCAGCATGTAACTACTGTTTCTAACTTTTGGAACAATCTCGGCCAAAACCACATTTAAAACTTGTTTCAGAGAAAAACATAATGACCATCCCCACTAATGCTGCCTCACAACACAGTGTCAGTCAATATAAGGATTTCTTTTACATGTAATCCAGCTGCAGGTGTCTCAGTGGTCAGCACCGTTAGCGCCGTTAGCGCCTCACAGCTAGAAGGTCACCGGTTGGCGTCCCGGTGAGGACACCCGGGATCTTCCTGCGTGGAGTCTCCATGTTCTCCCCGTGCAGCGTGGGTTCTCTCCGGGTTCTCCGGCTTCCTCCCACAGTCCAGAAACATGCTGAGGTTAATTGGTGATTGTAAATTGTCCGTAGGTGTGAATGTGAGTGTGCTTGGTTGTCTGTCTCTAAGTGTAGCCCTGTGATAGACTGGTTACCTGTCCAGGTGAACCTGCCTTCACCCTGAGTCAGCTGGGATAGGCTCCGCCCCCCATAGAGAGGATGAAGGTGTAGATGATGGATGGATGGAGTTCAGCCCTACGCAGCAGTGCTTTGAGCTACACACTGATAGCAGCATGCTAACACCCCCACAACAACGATCCTCAAACACTGATGCTTCATGACACTCCGTCCAACATTTCTATTTATTCTATTCTGGTCCAGTGAGGTGGACTGACTTGCTAAGCTCGTAGTCGTATGAAAGACGTAGAACTGTCAAAAGCCATTTAATAAAATGCCACTAGAGCACGTCAGCTATCTGCTCCCATCAGCCTGCACTCACAGCTCACAGTGGATGTGATGTGACAGCAGGTTTTCATCAGTCACTGCCTGTCGGTGGATGGGAGGAGGACTGCCGAGCTGCTGGACGGATCACTCAGAGACTGGAAGGTCACATGATCACCATCACACCATCAGCAGCAGCATGTTCCTCCTCCTTGTCTCTGTAGCACACTTAGAGATGCCTATATGCCCTTACAATACGCTCACTGGAGATGAGTCTCAACTAAATGACCTCAATAAAACTCCAGTGCTGAGTACTGGGCATCCTCAGCAGCTTATGAACATCCCTCATCTGAAGTGCTGCTGCGGCAGTCACTGAGCTTCCCTCCCTGGAGTCGGACCATCAGAGCGTTTCATGCACTCGGAGCAGACAGCCTCCACACTCAGCCTCCCGCCTGTGAATAATGCTGCTGGTTAATTATCACCCAATGCCAGATCGATGCACCCTCTAACAGGACCATAAATCTGCTCTGCTGCTAACAAGGGGCCCATTGTTGCGCTCTGTTTAAGCAGCGGCGGCTTCAGGAGCTCTGGCGCTGGCGCTGAATGTGACGTCTGGGTCCAGTGGGAGCGGGTGTGGGTGACTCTGGCCCACTCCTATCGGGCTGGGATCTTCAGCCACTCTGAATAGCGCTTAGATGATCCCTCCTCTGGCATTTCTGCTTCTGGTGAGCTTTGTGCTTTGTGCCTTTCATGCTGCTTCAAAGCTGGCTGGGAGACGAGGGACAGGCACAGCCAGAGTCAGCCCGAGTGTCAGGCCCCAGCTTCAGGCATCACGGAGCGTTTATGGACATTTCTTCAATAACACGTCCTGTTTAAGCTTCTGAACTGTGAGAATTTGCTTATTCTGTTGTCAGCGGTGATTATAAAATACAGACAGGTGAGGAGTTAAAGATGCTAGGCGACCATTTAACGTCTCCAAGTATCTGGAACTAAAAGATCTTCCTTCGTTCAGTGTTGGGCTGATCGTGGTGGAGTGCTGTCCAACCCGACCGTCCAGAATCTCCCACAGGTGATGGAGTGGGTCTAAATGTGGAGCCTATGAAGTCCACAACACATGATTCATATCGTTTCCATCCTCACTAAACTGCGATGGAGGCATTTTTAGAGGATTCATCCCGTCGGACAGAAAGTGTTCCATCACAGCATAAAGGTGATCAGAACACATTCATGTTGGTTTACTTCCCTCTGAGAAGACAAGTGGACCCAAACCATGCCGGTATGATGCCCACTGAACCACCGGATCCCCTCACAGCACGGCTCAGAGGTTCACTTGTCACCATCTGTACGAGTCCAGTGGTGACTCGATGATCGACCCTTAACATCCTAAACCTGCTGTCCGACAGGTTTTTAGGAAAAACCAACAGAAGCCATAAAAACAGCCTGAACTTAGCGACAGCCTTGGATTCTGACCTAAAAGAAGGTTTTATATTTACTGTCAGGTTATCGAGTCACGACTGTGTTTGGATTTTATGGATGCTTGTTGTACAAACCAAGAAATGTGAAGATGTCCAGTCAGGTGAGGCCCTGTGATGGACAGCTGCTCAGACTTTAAACAAGTTACCAACGATTAAAACATGTATGTAGACAATCCGCCGGCCTGTGCTAGCGTGTGCCTATCTTGGGTTTTACACGGTGGCTGAAGAGGAGAAGATTTACCAGAACATCCACACTACAAAGCCATCTGGTCCAAACTGTGCCCAGGACTGGATTCAGCTTTTGCAACCAGTCTTAACACATGCTTATGGCAGTGAACCCGGAGTGTGTGGGTGGCCTCTGCAGCCTCCTACTGCACATTACCATATCCTGGGCTCAGCCACATTCTCATGCCTGGACACATGGGACTGTGGTGTGGGGGGTGTGATGCTTTCTCAGTCTGAGGTAATCACCACCACCCAACCGCTGTCTCCATGGCGACAGCCAGATGTTGTGCCGTGCACATCACCCCCACTCCACATGCAGGCTCCGCCTGAGGGCAGAGCAAAGAGGCATCTGTTACCATTTTCCCCTGCGGCTGCTGAAAATAACCAGGAGGAGACACAAAGCCAGGCAGCACCGAGCCGGAGCCAAGAGCCTCCTGACAGCAGCTCTGAGTGTGTGCATGGGGCGCTGTGGGGGTCCTGTGGGGGTCCTGTGGGGGTCCTGAACCACCTCCGTGTTCTCAGGTGCTCCTGATCAGGCTCTGACTGATCTCCTGAAACACGGAGACTTCAGCGTCAGAGGAATCCGCTGAGTGACTATTGAGAGCAGCTGGAATCGACCACAGCTGCTGGGAGCTCAGCTCTCTGCTCCATCCTCACTGTGCACAACAATCTAATCCCACATGAAGCAGAAGAGGAGTAATTAAGATTCCCCTTCAGTGGCCTTTAATTAGGCGTGCAGCCAAAGACACTGACATGATGTGCCCTGACTGTAATTATGCATCCCCCACTTATGGAGCCAGCAGGAACCTCTGAACAACACCCAGACAGACTGGACCTGGACCAGAGGAGCTGTGAGGAGGGACTGCAGGCTGACCACCGGGCTGTGGTCCTGCTCCGTGACCTGCTGCTTCCTGGGTCACAAGCAGGGCTGATGAGGTCCAGCTCACCTGGCTGCTGCTGAGGGATGAACTTCTAATGACGGAGTTAGAGGCGCTGGAGGAGGACACGAAGATCTGCAGGTTCACCATCAGAGGCTCAGAAACACAAAGAAAACTGAAAACTCAGACTAGTTAGTAGCTCCTCCAGCTCAGCTAGTTAGTTAGCTGGTGAGCTAACCTGTGACCTACCTTGATGTCTGGGAGCATCTGTCTCACTTTGAACGTGGTTTTGGATCCTGTCAACATCTTCCACGACGTCCAGCTGGACTCAGACAGACGGGCAGCAGCTGGATGAAGCTCTCAGAGAAGAAATGTTGAAAAACGAGTTTTATTTCTAAGCTAGCGGCTAGCGGGCTGCTCTCCCTGTTCAGCCGAGAAACCGTGAAGAAAAGCTCCAGTGACGGCCGGCCTGCGTCCCGGCAGCTGCTACGGAGGTGTTCGGAGAGGAAGAGGAACTATGTTCATCGCTGACAGCATCTGGGTCCGGAACCAAGTGACCCAGCCCAGAGCCCAGAGCCCAGCCCGCTGAGAGCTGATACACGGCGGTCCGCTGCCCGTTACCAGTTTGTTCCTTCGCCACAGCGAAACCCAGTCTGAGAGGAAAAAGAAAAGCCCAGAGCGGAGGTGTAGAGTGGCTTCTTAAAGCGGCAGTACATCTGGACCGGAACCACCTGGAGACAGCCTCAGTCCACCAGCAACGCTCTGCTGGCTGGAGAGAGCTCCGCTTTCCCTGCTTTCACTCAACCCCTGAACTCACCACCGCTCAATACTGGGGTACCAGCAGAGGCGTTACTGGTTAGTGGTGGGGGCTCCGCCCACAGCACAGAGGGGTTACTGGTGGGGGGCTCCGCCCACAGAGCCGTTACTGGTGGGGGGGCTCCGCCGGAGGGGGGGTGTCACTGGTGGGGGGCTCCGCCCACAGGGAGGGTCCCGGATGTGAAAAATAAGCCGTGAAAAGAAAAGTTTAAAACTGAAAAATAAAGCGTGGCCGTTTTTTTCCTTCGGTTTTTTAAATCGATGTTTAAAATGGAGACACTATAAGGAGCCTGTTTTCTTGTAATTTGTTTAAACGTACATATTAAATATGGGCCTGTTTTGTCCTCGCTGGTGGTTTAAGATGGAGACAGTAAACAGGTAAACAGTTTTCTTGACTGGTTTGAAATGGAAAAACTAAATAATTTTTGTAATGTTTCCATCGATGGTCTAAAATGGAAACTAAACACATTGCTGTTGGTTTTAAATAGAAACTGGTTTTCTTTTGTTCTTGTTCGTCACTGTGGGGATCCAGCAGGTTAGAAGACAACAACCATCGTGGAAATGAAAACTCAACGTGACTCACTAACCCATTAATGTAGAACAGCCCGCTTTATATTTGAATGTTTGCACCACTGAAGATATTCCAGAGTAAAATGAAAATGAAATGTGAGAACAACGCTGTGGTGGAGAACAAAACAGATAAAATCTGGACACAGACTAATGCTACTTCCTGTCTCTGTTTGCTGGTGGGTTGGTGTTGGTTTCCCATCTCTGCTACGTTCAGAGTAAACGAGCAGCGAGGTGACGGCTGCAGCAACATCTCATGATGATCTCACTCAGTAGAGACAAAGCAGAACTCAACTGCTTTAAAATATGTGTCAGGGTTAAATTATTTATGTTCAGCTCTCTGAACTCAGCCAGTTTCTTTGCTCCTGTCACGTTTCTACTCGCTGAGCGCAGAAATGTAGAATCCACCTCCAGTAAAGCTGAGGAACAACCAACCTGATGAGCATTAGGTTGGCTTCAGTTTCATTTACTGCATTCTGCTGCATTTTCCTGCACCAGTTTTTGCCTTTTCTGCATCAATTTGAGGTGAAATTTCTTTGTTTTTGGAACGGAAAACACTAAATTCAGACACAAATGCAGTGGAATATGTATATATATATATATATATGTATATATATGTGGCTCAAATTGTTTTCCACTAAAGATTCAGTCGCTGTATGAGCTCTTTGTTTATAATATTTTTTGACCCTGAGCTGAACGACAAAAGGAGAAGAAAAGAGAAGAGCTCTTTCATGGTTTTTGTGGGCAACAGCTGCATATGTAGAACAAATGAACATCTACACTCAGTCATTAATGCACATTTTTCAGTTCTGTAGGTGGAGCTGATTTCACAGACTTCATCCTCAGTTGGCTCACGTCTCTGTAATGAATCATGTTTTAAACATTTATGGTAGATCTTGTTTGTTCATCCTGTTCTCAGGGCTGCAGACTCACTTTAAGTAAAGTCCCCAGCTGCATTTAACAAAGTTTATCTTTATGTTCTGACTGAAATAAATAAAATAATTTATGAAATATGAATTAAAGTTGTAAAATAAGTGTATGCAAATTAAAAAAACAATTAAAAAAATCTCTGGAACTAAATGAACTCCCTCTATGTTGCCCTTTGTCTCGTCATGTGTCTTCATATATCTGCCTCCTTGTCTGTTTTGAAACAGTTGAAGTCTGGAGTCGCTGTGAGTTTGGATTTCAGGAGGATTTGCTGTGAAGGAAGCCACTGTTCTGCTGCACACAGTCACAACGACAGAACCAGCAGCAGAGCCGCTGAGCCAACATCCATAAAACCCTTAACTCTTGACCTTCTGCTGTTCCAAACGTTCAGACCTGCTCCTGACAAACAGAACCGTCCCGTTACTCTACCTTGTTCTGATCCTTCAGCAGGTCCGTGTGGGGACAAACTCCTCTCCTTTCTCATCCACGCTTGTCGAAAGAAGCCGCCAGCGATTCTCTTTCAGACGAATACCAGCAGAAATTCCTTTCCAGCGAGAACAGGGAAAGTCTGAAGAGTCCTGAGCGAGGCTTTGGCCGAGCAGGTGGGGAGACGGCGTCCTTGTGAACTATAATAGAGAGAGGTCTGGATTTTTTACCACATGGGAAACTGTTCAATATTACATAAGGGTCTCCGATTTCTCTAATACATAAAACAGTCGCAGACACAGGACCTTGCATCATCTGAGCTGCAGTTATTCAACAATGTATAATGCAACAAGGTTATACGGTAATACGGGCCACACAGACGACAAGGATTCACAATAAAGGCTGAGCTCCCTGTTCATGTTGGTCCAGTGAAGCAGCTTTGTTCCACTGAAACCTTTCCAAGTGTTTTATGTCTCTGCTGCTTTAATAACGTGAGCTATGTGAGGACAGAGTGTTTTCTTTTGCCCCAGCGGCTCCACACGACATGAACTTAAGCAGAGAGGACGGCTAGCTGGACAAAGCAGGAGTTAAACTGGGGACTGCTTTAAAGAAATGTTGTTCTTTGTCTATAAAATGTCAGAAAAGTGTGAAGACTGTCAAAGACGATCTCCTTAAATCGCTTGTTCTGTCTGATCGGTGGTTTAAAAACCCCATAAGCACATCTGCACTGGACTGGCACATGTGAGAAACAGGAACCAGGGAACATCCATCCATCCATCATCCATCCATCATCCATCATCCATCATCCATCCATCCATCCATCCGTCCATCATCCATCCATCCATCCATCATCCATCCATCCATCCATCCATCATCCATCATCCATCCATCCATCATCCATCCATCCATCCATCCATCATCCATCATCCATCCATCCATCATCCATCCATCCATCCATCCATCATCATCCATCATCCATCCATCATCCATCCATCCATCCATCCATCATCCATCCATCCATCATCCATCCATCCATCATCTACTGGGGTCACAGGGGGCTGGAGCCTATCACAGCTATATGTGGTGTTTTTACTTAAAAACTGCATAATTAAGGAACTAGTCAATTATCAAACTCATTTCCAATTAGTTTCCATCTTCCCAGCTTCTATTCATGTGACGTTATGAACAGACTCGTTATGAAAGGTGTCAGATCTTTATTGTCTTGGAGCTCCTTCTGGATCCACATTCTGCAGATTACCAAACGTTTGCTCATGAAAAACCACAGAAAAGACGAGGGGCACAGCGTTCTTGAAATACAATGAGAATTTATTCAAACGGTGCAAAAAGAAATGTAATAATTATAATAATAATAACCTAACATAAAGTCTGATGTTCTTTCTATCCAGATTGCACTGTCACACCGCCGTAGGGCTCCTCTCACAAAACTAAACATTGAAACAATAAAAAACAGATCAAAATACCAGGACAACTTAAAACCTATTTAAAATAATGCACAAATTTGGTAGAATGGTTTTTGCCATTTACATGCAACAGTTCCAGTCCCATGCAACTCGAAGTATTCCATGTTAATGTCACCGACGTTCTGCTCCCACAGACATGACAGTGTCGTACAAGATAGAAAAATAGATCGGGTCGCTTGTGTCGCAGTTCTGAGCCATTTCTCTTCTGCCTTGGAGGAAATGAGCCGGGTCAGCGCCAGCATTTCTGTCGTATTTCAGCAGAGCACGGATCGGTGGCTGTAGAAAAATAAAATAATAATAATAAAAAAAAAAAGAGGGCAACAAACAAATAAAAGCCAGACCGCTGGACAACTAGCCGTGTGAGAAAGAACATCCTAAATCATCTCAACTAAACATTCCACAAGGAAACCTATTAAAAAAATCTCACTATAAATATATATTCTCAAATTGTTATTAGGTCAGCATTGAGGAAATTAGTTTGCAATGAGAGAGCCTCAAGTATCAAAAGGCCCGTCTGGGTCGCCTCGGACCGCCCGCTCCGGTCAGCACCGACTCCAGCCCAACCAGGCTCTGACCAGCTTCTGCTCCAAACCTCCGTCAGTATCCAACAATATACATTCTTACCCTTTAAAAACACTGTAAAACTTTGGGCTTACAAAAATAACTCGGAACATATTTATAGAACCTCTCACTGCTTTTTTATTATTAAATACAAAAATGTGTTCGTAGCCTGTAAAGTCAGATGTTTCTGAGGCATCCGTTTCATTGCAAATAAAAAAAACAACAGGTTTGTCAGCTAATTATTACTTTGGAGGGAAATGCACACATACACATGTTAAAAACAGGCATCGCCTTCCCAGCTGAGGAACATCTGAAGGTGTGAAATAAAAGCCACGTGCATGAGCACAGGTCAACACACAAACACAGCAAAATGCAAACGTCTTCTGGGGAGGAGGAGGAGGAGGAGGAGGAGCGACATGTGAGTGTTTCATTGACGTTAAAACTCTAGTTTCATTTTAAATGCACAGCAAAAAGCTTCCCTCCGTCCTCGAGCAGCTTCAGCGACGTGGAGAACATCGTACTGTAGTGGGACAGGAGCACTACTGCTGAGTTCTCCCATTTTGGTTATCTTGGTGTGTAGTTGAGATGCAAGACAGGAGGAGGGCCAAACATGTAGTTAAAATGGAAAATAAAACAAGAGCGCCCCCAAGTGGGCAAGGCAGTGAATTGCATACCAAATTGTGCTTTTCTAGTCGACTTAATGCCAAAGAAAAGGTTGAATCCACAAGAGCAGAGCAGCTAGAGTTGCTCCTTTCAAGAAATTCCTCATCATGGCTTATCACAGGGGAAATAACAGCAAGTCCAAGAACTTTAGTAGTCATTGTGACATCAGTGAAACAGGCTTAGCTTCAAACAGAACATGAGCTGCTCCCACCTAACCTAACAACACCGGCATCCTCTCAGGAGCTCCACCGTGAATGAATTCAAAGATCAGAGTAGTTTTGGGGCAGCAGCAGTGAAACGTGCCTGCAGTGAAGCGAGCAGCGGATGCTTAACGCCAGCCTTCCACACCGATGAGGACAAAACGCTGAAAAAGGCAACTAGGACACTGAGTTAGAAGGTGACACCGGCACCGAAACGCTGCAGCTCGACAGTAACAGAACCCTTCAGACAGAACCTCCTGGCCTGTGGCCCTGACTTCCCAGGAAACAGAGGTGGCAGTGTCTGCAGAGAAGACCGAGAGGCCCGAGGCCGGCCACTCTAACAACAGTGAAGCGTTTTGAATCTACGGACGTCAGGAAAGTGCTTGAATTTGTGCAAAAAGCGACTGGATTTGGTGAAACGAGTGCCAGAAACGCACAGACCGCCTTCAGTAGAACCTCTTGATTTGCAGTGAATGACCAAACAAAGCAGCCGTAAGCCGCCCTGGTAGCTCGACACCGTCGATGTGAGACTGTGAAGTCGCACTGTGGGTGATGTGGAGCTGTGTGTTTGTCTGGTGTTGATCTGTCAACATCCAGAAGAGCACCAGGGTCCCTTTGCATCAGCAGAAGCTGGAGACCGCTGCCTCTGATTCAGACCCAGTTCATGCCACTTGTTTAATACCAGACCCGTCGCGTTGCTCTTGGGGAGACTCAGGGTGTGTTCATGGAGCATGTTTGTGCAGCAGGGCGCTGGGCGGAGCCTCTTAACTCTGTTTCTATGACGACAACATCTGGACTAGCTTCCCCCCCTTATGAGGACTTCTGTCTGACATCTGGGATAAACACACGGCCAGATACCATCAGCTGCAACTAACAACTATTTTCATTATCAGTTAAGCTCTTGACTGTTTTCTGGGTCTATAAAATGTCACGACATGTTAGCGAGTGTTTCCCACAGCGAGAGATTCAGCTTCCTGCCACAGAGGAGGAACCACACCAACAAGGATTTAAATTTAGAAAGCTCAACTTTGGGCTCAAACCAAAGAATCTTTTACCAAAACAGTTGGTAGTTATTGTTTCTACTGGTAACGGATCCGTTCGTCATCACAGTGACGACTGTCTGGAAATGACTGATTTCCAAATCAGAGAAGCTGCAAAGGAATAAAAGGTGACATGCTCTAACATAGAGACTGTGGTGTGTAGGGTTTTCCACCAGGCGGCTGCAGACGCTCTGTTCTCTACTGGAACAACGGAAAAAGGTTCTGGTGCTGAGAAAACAAGCTAAATGGACATGTGACCCGTCTGAAGTCCCAAACATGTTTCAGTCATCTAACCTTATGGCCAGATGTGCCTGATGTCCAAAACCTGCAGAATCAAAAGCCTCCAACACAAACCAGTGCCACAGAAACAGGAAGACCCAACCAAGGAACAGTTCAACCAACACTTAAACACTCTGGACCAGGCTCTGGGATAGTAGTGCTATGCTGCTATGTGGTATTTGTTCTAAAAGGCCCGGTCAGTCAGCTGACCTGGTCAGTAGCTCTTAAACTTTAAAAGGCTGACATCTTTGTAATCCGGTCTACAGATGGACACACGTGTAGAATCTTATCTGATATCTGTTGTATATGCGACTAGCAGTGCAGAGCGCAGTGTGGTGGACATTATGTGTTTGCATTCTGTAACATTAGCACCACAGCAGCCGGCAGAACGCTCCATCGTTAGCGTTTCAGTCTGCGTTCTGCAAACGGTGACTGACGAGAAAGCAACCGGACCAGGACTAACTCTGCTGCTTCCCGGTACGCATGACACAAGCTCCTAGTAACAATAGTGTAACATGTGGATAACACTGGACCTCCCTGACCCAAATGACCCGACATCCCTCAGCTACCCGGTCCAAACGTTACCACAGAGCCTGGTTCTGTTTGTGCTTGCATCACGGGGTGTAGTGTGAGTCTGACTTAGTGTGTATACATGGTGTGTATGTGTGGTACTGAGCGCTGTGTACACTGCCTGCCGTATACATTCTCTCCACTAGGAGGAGACAGCAGCAAGGCGTTCATCTGTCAGGAGGAGGAGAGCCGCACACGCACACACACACACACACACACACACACACA